CCCCAAAACCCCAAAACCCCAAAACCCCACTATTTATATTATATTAGAAAATGCAATTAAAACCACTTTTCTTAAATATATATTCATTAATGAATGGAATCTTTTTCAATGAGAGTGCTAAGTTATTAAAGTTATGATCTATTTTAAAGTAAATCTTTGCTTGAATTTATATTTTTACTCTAATCAATTTCATTTCCATGTAAATCTTCTTTTTTAAATTTATTGAAATGGTCAATGTCATATTTCGGTATAAAGTTTATTTGCGTATGGCAAAGCTCTCCATCATCATAATCAGTATTTAATTTGTCTATGGTTACTTCTCTATTTTAATTTTTACTATCCATATCAAATTCCTAATCTGTATCACTTAATTAGCTTTCCTCCTCATTGTTGCTAAGCTTATCTTAATTCTTCTATTCTTCATTTTTTACTTCTAAATTTATTGGTTAGTAATTTATAATACGAGCGGGTCCTACTATTACTGAATTTTCAGCTAATAATTAGCCCTGACTATTGGTTAGAACGGAATCATAATTTCCATTAGTTTTATTACTTTTCTATAATTGCTTTTTGCCCTTTTCAATTTGCCTTAAATATTTGCGATAGCTTTCAATTTCTTTTAAATAATCATCTGTTGAGTGAGAAGATATGTAGAGTTTACTTGAATTTATCAAGGAATTAGGAACTAATGAGGCAGGAATTTTTCCAAAATAAGAACTAAATAAAAGAGCACACTTCCCCTTATTATTCTGATAAGGCTTAAATTTTAGATCATTATCTACTTTCTTAATATTCTGATTAGTAGTTTAATCTTTCAAGATAATACAGAAGTGATAAAAGCAGAGCCAACCAATGAAAGCAATTATCTAAAGGTTTAAACCAAGATAAAATTTACAATTAAAAATATGAGGAATATTACTACTGCATACCACCTTTGCTAGAAAACTTTCTCAGCATCCTTAGCTTATTGAGCTTTGTAAACAATCGAAATGGAACAAAATATTAACACATACAGCCCATATATTTTAAGTAGGGTGAGGAAATGCATAAAATATTTATAATTTCTCTTTCCAACGCAAGTTCCTATCCACATGCAATGATGGTCGAATTTCAAGACACAATTATCACAAATATTGCAATGAGCTGTGCGCTAAGGTCTAAATATCAGACAAGTTTCACAAAACTTCATCTTATAGACCATATCTTTGTTTGTATTAAGATAGGAAATTCTATCCTCCTTCCATAAAATGTTTATGTATTTCCAATCTATTGCTTGATTTGAACTTAGTAGTTAATATTTCTGTAAGTATAATCGAAAATTGGTTATAATACATTCGAAGGTATAATTCCTGGATCTGAGAAGGAAGTGAAAAGCACAAGAGTAGAAATCACTACATGAAGAATTGCAGCTATCACAATTGGGGCATAGTTATTCCACTACTCACATAGGTACTATAATAATACTATATCCTAAATTTTACCTAAAGAGGAATTGCAATAAATATGATCGAGAGGATATTTATAATCATGAAATTTGTAAGTAGAGCACTCGGCTTATTGCTATAAATGAATTATTAGTATCAGAATTTAAATACCCTGCAAATAGCCTCGCTCTTTTGCCGCACATCAATATTTTATTCAACCCATTAAGGACTTTTTTGGGGTTTTAAATCTATGAAGGTTTCACTCTAACTTGATTTTCGTTTATATTATTCATTAAGTACCAATTATAATTTTACTTCCTGTAATTTATTAAATAATTACTTCACGGGGTTTTGGGGTTTTGGGG